ATCACGGACGAGCCTCGCCTCCACTTTCGTGCGGGCTCTTCGGCCGTGTCACATCGCACGCCTCGGCCGCTACAGAGCAGACTTAGCTGTTCCAACTAATGGAAATGAGATGAAGATAGAGTATGAGCAGAGATCCCAAACCGTAAACCCTACGCCCTATACGGCTCGTGGGCTTCCCAGCGCAAAGCTAAGAGTTTCAGGCTCCTCGGCTTGCCTTGAAAGGGTTTGAGGTTTAAGGGCTTAGGGCCTATATCCCTGCATCCTGAAACCCTAAACCCTGTTCAAAAAACACCCTGAGCCCTTATAGACGCCCATGCTATGAACCCTGTAACCTGAAAAACACTGGAAAAGCTCAAAAAGCACGTGAAACAAGCAAACAAGCCACACAAACCCAAACATCGCAATTGCCATGCAGATACCAAACGCATAATCCGCATAGTCTAAAGTCATTAAGCTACTGCAGGATCTACATCACCAACCGTGGTCAACCTTCTCCGAAACCCCCTAAACCCTAAACCCTGGAGGCCACGAGACCAGGTCCAGAAGCTTCTGCTGGAAGCTCAGAGGCAGCACTTTCGGAAGCAGCACCTTCCGAAGACTTCGGAGCCCAAAACCCTAAACCCTAGATCCATACGGCCCTAGACCCTAAGCCCTAAACCCTAAGCCCTAAACCCTAAGCCCTAGAGCCTAAACCCTAAACCCTTTTTGAGGTGTAGGATCCCCGGGACAATGCCTCCTAAACCCTGCAAAAATCCCTCATAAAAGGTTGCATGAATCAAAGGGTAAAAGGAGGGACCCCTAATAAGGACCCCTAGGTATATACCCATAGCTATTCTTTACCCATTTTCTAGCCCATTATAGGGTAGGGGTCCCAGTAAGGGTCCCTCCTTTTCCCCTTTGAATGCAGGTCTTGCCGAAGCGCAAACCCGGGCAGGAGCTCCCTGCCGGGACACTGCATAGCCAAGGATGGCGGTGGACGAACTTCCTGCGAGGAGATGCTTTGGATTTAGACTGCAGAGGCTACATGTGTGGGTTCGGGGTTGAGGATTTAGAGTGTAGAGTCTAGGCCGATGGCTTGGGGTTCAGGGTGAGTTACAGTCGAAGCATGCTTCATACGGTTAGGGTTGTAGGATTTAGGATAGTCTCGGGGGCTGGGGTAAATTCTGTGTATAGAGAGGTCTTCGGCTTCACGGTTCAGCATCGAGGGTTTAGGGCTAGGGCTCCGAGTTCATGGGACTTGGTAGCTAGGGTTAAAAATCCGGGAAACTATACTTATGGTTCCTTAAGTGGTCCAATTAAAGTACCTTTTCCCATGCTTACTAAGTCCCATGATCCTTTTGGTGGGGTCCTCGGGATTTTGGAGCTCAAGATCGCGCCTCGGGTTGATAGTAGAGGCTCAAGGTTGAGCTTCGGGTTCAAGGGGGTGAATGGCAAAAAGCCAGTCAATCAAAGGCACGGTGGCAAAGTTGAGAAGTGGCAGATCATACCACGGCTTAGCTTTCAGAGTTTACGGTTGAGGGTGTATGGTTTGGGGTTGAGGGCTTGGGGCACTACCATGCCTATCTAAGCCCTGCAGACCCTGACGGGTTGGGCACGTCACCAACCAGTCGATGCCGTGACCCTCTGAACTCGGTCTCTGGATGCAACAAGGGTTCACGGATCAAAAATGGGAGTTTCCCAAAATGAAGGATACCTGGTTTTGGGGACAATGTAGGGGCCCGAATACGTAGTTGGAAAAAATAAAGTTGTGGCGCAAATTATATGATACGTATTATAATCAGGAACACTAACTAATGGTGTGAGTAAAGGCAAGCCTGCACTATCGAAGTCCTGGCAAGGGTTCCCGGCGTCTTCCGTCGCCTTCTCCGCAGCAGCCGCGGCGCCTGTTGCGACATCTGCTGTGGGCAGTTCGCAGGGTTGTGGCGAATATAGGGTCCTTCATTTTTGGAATAGGGTTCCTTTGAAGGGGTCCAGAAGGGATGTATAAGGATACTATAACGTAGCGTCCTTATTCATTAGAATAAGGTTTTGGGGTGTAGAGGACTGAACGTCGGGGCGAGCAAAGAGAAGCAGAGTGTCAGGTGCACCTTCTTGAACAAGAACTCTCAGAGCAAAGTAAGCTCTAAGCTTCTCAAGGATGCGACTAACAGAAAAGACTTTTGGAGTATGTTATGTATACCATAAGGAGCCCCAGACTAGTATAGGTAATTAGTTAGGCTCCTATACTACCTGTTGTACGATAGGAGCCTTAAATATCAGAATCCGACTTGCCAAGGGCTTCTACAGGGTTCTATCAGGTTTACAGGGGAATACTAAGGAACCTTCTTTCTCAAAACGTTCAGACCCCTATCTTACGCACAAACTCCTAAACCCCATAATCAGGAAATATACCTCCAACCGTATTAAGGATGCCCAAAAAATTCATGTACATTCCTTAAATATTGCGTCTCTGACCACACTATTTCTGGTGCTCATCACCACTCATACCTTAAACCCTCCACTGAAGTCAGCCACTCTACAATGACTTCGCCAGCCCGTAGCAGACTGCAGGACGTTTTTGGGAAGCCCCCCGATTTGTGTAAGTGAAGGAGTTTTCAGTCTTGGGCTTCGGGTCTGTTTCAGGGTCCAGCATGGTATCCAAAAAGACGGGAAGCAGATGTCGCAGACCATCACAAAAGCCTCCGGGCAGAACTTCGGCATCTGGATGCTGATGGGCCCTGAACCCTAAACCCTAAGCCCTAAACCCTAAACCCTAAACCCTAAGCCCTAAGCCCTAAGCCCTAAACCCTAAACCCTAAGCCCAAAACCCTAAGCCCTAAACCCTACACCCTAAGCCCTAAACCCTAAGCCATAAGCCATAAGCCATAAGCCCTAAACCCTAAACCCTAAACCATGGAAACCCACTACACTAAACCCTAGACCTCGGATCCCAGACCTTGCTCGCCCTCAAATCGTGAAGTCAGCCGGAGAGTCCTCAACGCAGAACGCGACGCCAGGTTCCTGAGTAGCCCCTTTAAGCCCTAAGCCCTAAACCCTAAACCCCTAAACCATGGAAACCCCTGTAAAGTCTCCAGACTTCAGGTTCGAACCTCGGTTTAAGGTGTACTTGGAGGTTGAGGGGTAGTTAGAAGTAGAGTTATAGGTAAGGCTTGCCTCTTCGCATCCACCGTGTCGGCATGGCATCACTCAGGGATGGTCACTAAGGGTGGTACTTTTGAGATTTGAAACTTAGACTCCCTTGCCATGGCTAATTCAGTAATAATATTTAAACAAAGGACATGTAAGTATTTATTATGATCATACCTATCCATTAGCATAAGACAATAGAGCGCGGTTAATGCCTTCGCACGTGTCCTGTCGGGTTGGCGGCTGACGAGAGTTTGCAGACTCGGGTGGAAGCGAAGCTTGACCCGACGCAAGAGCAACGGAGTTCGGTGCATTCCTTAGCAGCCACAACGAAACACAAGAACAAGCAATAGCTTCGGACTGCGTCCCCCAAATTTAAGCTGAAGATCAACCTGTTATCAGACATAAGTAAGACCCAAAACTCGACCAGGGTTGCCCGAGAGCGCCAGAGAAAGCAGAATATGCATCCTAAACATTAAGCCAGCTTGAAACCCCTTCCATCCTTACCGAGGCCCCAAATTATCAAATCCGGACCCCCTTGCATAATAAAGGGGCCTTAATCGTTAGAATAGCGTTTGGGTACATACTGTAATAGTTGCAATAAGGACCCCCCAATCCCCATTCTAATTATGAAGGCCCCTGTATTCTGCCCCTATGCCTTGGGCTCTTAAGGAGTCTCCCACACGCCTTTTCCATAACCTTGGAAGGCGGTTCTGGAGGAAGCCCTGCAACCCTATGCAGCGGTAGCAACTGTAAACCCGAAACCCTAAACCCTAAACTCATAAACCCTAAATCCCTAAACTCTAAACCCCTACAGTAAACCCCTAAACCCAAAACCCCTAAACCCTAAACCCCGTAAACCCCTAAACCCTAAACCCTAAACACCCTATCCCATATTGGGTAGAGGCCTCGATCTCTTCACTCCCGCTGCTGGCACTGTCCTAGAAAGCTCTTGGGAGACAGACGGCCGTGGGAAGCAGCCCGTTTGACGGTCTGCTTCGCAATAGAGTGAGTGTACTTGGACTAGTAGTAGCAAAGCAGTGATAGCACTAGCAGTAGTAGTCGTCGTAGTAGTAGTAGTCGTCGTCGTCGTAGTAGTAGAGCAGTAGTAGTAGCAGCAGCAATAGCAGCAGCAGCAGCCAACACCACCAGCTGTCAAGGGTAGTCCATTCAAGAAATTCGGAAGGGCATCCAGCCCAACACTGAGAAAGCCGGCCAGAAAGGAAGTTCTCACGGCTGAAAAAGAAGACGAATCTCTGCTTCGGCAATTTCCCGTTGGGTGTCTGCAGTTAGGGGCTGCGGTTTCCATTCAGAGGCTCTGGGTTGAAAAGTTGAGTGCTGCTGTCTGGCACAAGCGGAGTTTAGCAGCTAAACTTTGGCACATCCTCCCTAGCTAGGCTGTCTTGCTATTAGAACCCCGTGAAAAACACCCCCAAATGCACAGAGAGCCAGATATCCTGAAGCACCTTGGCCCTAGGATTTCTAGCTTCCATATGCCCTTACTCACACAAGGTCCGCTTCCTGTCTGGCCCAAAACTCCAAGCCCAGTGTGGGATTTGCCACACGCCGTAATATCCCCTGCATCAAGGAATATTCGGCCTGAACTGGATATAAAAAATCCTTGGTCGAGGATCTCTACTACGTTGGTCCCCTAAAGCCTTTGAGACTTGTTCGGTGAAAAAACTGATCCTCATAGGAGCAGTAAGGGGAAATAGAAACTGACCCAAAGGCCCGCCTGGTCCAATCAAGAGCCTCTGAATCCCTGAACCAAGGAATATTCCGTACAGGATAAGAGGATTCCTTAATGCCTCATCTTTAGAACCCCTATCCTCAAACCACTGTGGAGCATCAATCACTCTAAACCCTAAACCCTATCACATCGAGGGACAGCGTCGCCACAACAAGAATGTGCCCACGCTCGAGACCGCGAGCACAAAGGTGGCTCGAGGGATAGCACTCTGAAAACGAGTGTCGAGAAGTTGTGCCAGAATGATCTGGTCCACCGCGAAGTAGATCGCGTAGAACAGCGTCCCTACAGCTACCATTCCTGCGGATAGCAGCAACTTGTAGCATCTGCTCCCATGGAAAGACTTACGCAGTCTATAGCACAAGCGCAGACAAATGAGATCCATACTTGGCATGAGCAGTAAGTAAGATGTTAAGCCCCCCAATGTGTAGGAGATCGTGTGAGACATCGTCATTCCTGGCGCCGACATCAGGTCCAGAAAAAACCACAGCAGAGGGCAAAGTGCGTGCACCATGCGCCAGTACGAGAAGATGTTGTTCGCGAGCTGATGAACCAAAGTTCTGCGCACCTCGCCTCGCACAGCAGCTTCGAATTTGTCCACAGACCCGAACCAAGCTTCAATGCAACGAACGATGAGCATGCGGTCACAGATTGTCTCGCACAGGCCACGAGAGCAACAGTGGCACGAAGCATCCTCAATGGTGAAGCTGCTGACTTGGCTTTGAACCACGTCGATGCTGTGACAATGTGCAAGGACCACGTAGGCGAGCAGCAAGAAACATGGCAAGGCGAGGGTAGCCTGGAAGATGAGGACGTAAGAAACCAAAGCGAATCCCATCGTCAGGCTCGCGGCCATCAATATGCTGAGACTGAGTTGGGCCACCAGCAACGTGGGGCCAACGAACACTGGGCAAACCGCCAAGCAGTCCTCCGCCTCTACACTCAGCCCCTTGCTGTGCAAGAATGCGGCCATTTCGAACACGCACCACAGCCTTCAGGCGCATGTTGCAGGACGGATGTGTTGGGCCATGGTCATGCTATGGTTGCACGGAGAATTGCGTTTAGTTCGTGACACTACGCCGCATTCAGCTTACAAGCTAGAGAAAGAAACCAAAACCAAAAGGCATGCCTTGAGACATATGTCTCGTCCCATAGAACCAGGAGCGACTGAGAGTTCTTGAGGAAAGCGCCGATGCTGAGCATGCCTTCTACCTTACTCGCATGATCCTTCTGGTTGATGCAAGCGATGTCAAGGAAAGCAAGTTTACTCCGTCGCCAGAAGAGCAGAGTCGAGTAATAGCCTACCGCACCAGCCACACTGCACCAAAAGCTATTTGGGGCTCCCGCAATCCGAACTGGCACGATGCCAGCCCGGCAAAAGAAGAAAGCGGCTGAGGCACAAAACATACCTACCACAAAGGCAGGTCGGCTATTGTGCAGATATAGTATGTTGAGGTACTTCAGCCAAGCTTTCGTGCGCCAGCTGTGCGACCAGAACTCGTCGAATCTCGTTACGACCTGGCTCAGCCTATATAGCTGCTCTGAGTCTTTTCTATTCCTTGGCCACTTGCGAGGTGCTTGCTGCAGGAATGGATGAACTGGGATTCCTCGCAGGATACTCGGTCTGGTGGCTTTCATTTCTACCATGAACTGGACAAAACTCTCCACGATCTGGACGGTCGATTCTGGCCGTGCGCTTGCTCCAGACCCCTCCGAGCATGTCTCGTCTTCCTTTCCTGGAAGGACCGGAGATGGACTACCCAGGCACTCCTCGAGGCCATCTGCTGGCATGCTGCTCAAAGGCTGAGCCCCGACATGCACATGCTCGCATGCATGCGCATGTGGGGGTATATGTATGTATACTCACGCTGCGGAGAGGGAGAGCACATCATGTTCATCACTGCAGCCTTCAGAGTTTAGGGTGTAATTACCTGAACCTCCAAAAGTATGTAGAATAATGGCCTTTTTTATGGGTTTTGGGCTATTATTTTACCTACTTTGGGGGGTTTAGGTAGGGTATAGGTTAGAAGGGGCCCCCACCCTGTTATAGTGGTATAATCGGAATATAATAGGGCCCCAGTATAATCCTTATAGTCACTATTACAGGGTGGGGGCAGCTTCTAAGGTATAGGGTACCACAGGTGCTGCCATGACATACGTGTGGCTGCGGCGACAGGTAATTACAACACGTACGAGGCAAGAGGCCGCTTGCGCTGAGCAGAAATGGGGTTTCCGAAAATAGGGATACCTTCAAAGGGATCCTTTGGGAGTTGCTTAAAAGGATCTACAAAGGTTCTATGAAGGGTTTAAGGTTTCGAAAATTAGGGGTACCTTATTTTGGGATCCTTATATTATTATAAGGATCCTACTATTTAGGGTACTATGTTAAGGGGCCCCTATTTGCGGAAACTCCCTAATCCGTCTGGGTTTCAACAACGCTTGAGCTCAGCATGACACTGGAACGCTATTCGGGGACGTTCAAGACAGCGACTCTTGCGGCTATACTCCATTTACTAGCATAGCAACCCTGTCATTTGCAGATTTTCGAGCTGCCATATACTAGATGTCGATTTCAGCAGTCCCCATGATGATCCAAAATAGGGGCTCGATTTAGACAATAAGGGAATGGGATTGTATGGGGCTTTAGCCGTATAGGGCGTAGCCCCATGCAGTTGAATTCCACAACTCGGCTTTTTGAGTCAACTCGTCTGATGTCTGACCTGAGGGCCGAGTTCCTGCAACGCAGAACTCGCACCCGCAGGGTTCATGGTGCAGCAGGAAGGGCGGTTTTGTAAATGCAGTCTGGTTGGTGTTGAGAGTCCACAGGGCTGATCCCTTGATAGAAACACTGCAAGTCTAATAATATAGGGGTCATAATAAGTAACACATGGTTTTTCGGTATCTTAAACTATAAACTCAACAAGGAACCCTAAGGAATACTATGTGTAATCATTTCGGCCCCTGTAGTAGGGCATATTTCAGCCGACATCCTAATGCCAGATCGAAGATTCATCCTCGCATCTAACCCTGAACCCTAAACCTCAAACTCTGAACCCTAAATCCTGAACCCTAAACCTTCCTCTGCAATACTCTGCCACTGGCGCCAAGCGTGTCGGAATCCTGCACCCATGATCCTCGCGCTCTCCATATCTGTGCTTAATGCTAAAACCAGTTTAGGGCTTAGGGTTCAGGGTTTAGGAGTCTGATGAATATTCGCTGCTAGTAGTAAGGTCGTAATGCTACTTAAAAGTCATGTATACTCCACAAAGGCTTCGAACCACCTATGCCATATGCTAACCTTGAATCTTGAACTTCAACCGCAACCCTAAACCCGAAGCTCTGGCCAAAAAAACCTTGAACCCTAAGCCCTCTACCCAAGACCCCGAACCCGGCAGGCTCTTGTAAGCCCAATCGTTTTCAGACAACCTCCATAGATCCGCCTCCTGCTCCACTTAACTAGATTCCTGTGCTGATGCTTAAAAGTCTGTCGAAGGTAGACGAAGCCCTCCGCGCGTACTCCCACCCATTCAAGACATGCTTGGTTGATCTATGGCATGATCCATCGAAAGATGTGCTGGGGTGGGTCACACGCTCAGGATCCGTAGCTCCTTCGCTCTTAATTTTGCAAGAGAGTCGGATCCTCTGCGTCTCTGACAGCCCTGCCAATGCAGGGCCGTTGCAACTGACTTGTACCGTGGACAAACCCTGTAGCATCCTACGTTTGGGGGTTTGGGGCTAAGCAAATCCATTAAGCGTTGACGGTGGAGGAGCAGGAGGAGGAGGAAGAGGAGGAGGAGGAGGAGGATCTATGATGCGAGCAGAACGTACTAAACCCTAAACCCTAAACCCTACTTGGAGGGGCGGGGGACTTAGTAAGTGGGTTATAAATAGGGATACAATTGGGGTAACTCCATTTAGGGTACTTGTAGCTCTACTTATACCCTACTTACTAAGTCCCCTGCCCCTCCAAGTAAACCCTAAACCTCCCTCGGCTTCAAAGCTGTCCCAGCCCGACAGGCTTGCCTTCGATGATGACACGCAGAGGCCCCTGAACAAGATCCTTGCCCGAGACGCGCCTCGTCTGAACTCCTACCAGCGAGTCCCCCAGTGAAGCCTCGAGCCACGGTTTAGGGTTTAGGGTTTAGCATTTAGGGCTTTTCAGCCTTTGGTGAGCGTAATCCAACCCTTTCTATGTCCCGTAATTTTCGGGGCTTTGCCTGTGTGAAGCCCGAACTTTTCTTTTAACAAACCGGAACCGGAACCCGATCCCAAACTCCGAAAAGTCCTCGACCCCGAATCAAAATTCGTGCAAAGCCCGACCTCCCCCTCACCCCAGCAACACTACGTCCAATTCTACCCTAGTAAGCACTGCACCTTTTACCCATAAGCCCCCAAGTTTCGAAAGCCAAAACAATGAACTCATCGCTTTGGGGTCTAGGGTCTTTTGTTTAGAGTTCCTAGCCCATCGCTTCTGTACCTTGACCTAAAAAACCTGAATTCTTCTCTTGGGGTCCCCGAAGCCCGAGGAAGCTTAAGGAAGCGAAGCTCATCTGTGGGCATTCCGGCGGAAAGGTGAAACGGCCGGCGCCCTCACATCCGCGCACCTGTCGAGAACACTTTCTTCAGTTGAAATCGCTTTTCCCAGCTTCAAGGTGCAGGTCTAGGATGTAGAGTTCCTGGCTTCGCCGGCTCACGCACGGGCGTCAAGGAGTTTGCTGCGGGTCTCTGCTTGCTCGGCGCAGGCTTTGGGTTGCAACCGGAAAAACCGAAATCACGGAAGGAACTCGAAACCCTAAGCCCTAAACCCCAATCCCCAAACGCAGAACCCTGATCCCCAATCCCTAAGCCCTAATCTCGAAATAAACTGCAGATTCCCAGACTCCCCCAAAGCAAAGAAGCCCTAGCCTGCACTGAGGCTGCCGCCATGATACCACCACCGGTCCCCTCAGCAGAGTTCAGGTACTAGAGCTGTCGTTTAGGGTTTAGGGTTCAGGCTCCAGGGCTTTGGGTTTTGATGGAGGGGGCCTTAACGATTAGAAGAGGGTTTTGGGGTACATTGTAGTACATCAAAGATAAGGAGCCCTCTAAGCAACAACACTGGCAATGGTTGACCCTAAACCCTAAGCCCAACTTCCATACATGGGAGTTTCAGAAAATAGGGGACCCTACCTTTATAGTAAGATCCTGCTAGGGTCCCCAGAATCAGGTACCCCTAATTTTCGGAAACTCCCATGCAGAGGCATTAAATTTTAAACATGTACCAGAGTTATGGAGGGAGACAATGTCTTCGGACGGCTGGTCTTCAATGGAACCCTATCTAAGCCCTAAATCCTAAATCCAAAGCCCTAAACCCCTAAACGCTAAGCCCGAAGCCCTAAATCCTAAACCCAAACCCTAAACCCCTGAACACCCCAAAACCTTGGCTTGGCCATGCGCGGGCGTAAAGCTTCGGGCGTTTGGACTTAGGTTTTCGGCTCCATGGTCAGTTTACTCTACACCCCCCAAAAAGTTCGACTGAGAAGTTCTGCTGAAGTTTAGGGTTTAGGATTTTGGGCTGGGTTTAGGGTTTAGGGTTTAAGGTTTAGAGAATGAAGAGCCGAGGTCTTCGGCTTGGCGAGGCATTGCTTAAGAGGCGCCGATGATGCAAGGGTATAAGTTATAAGTCTCCTGCTATGGGTTGTATGTATAGTTACCCTACTTATAGCCCTACTTCTACCTACCCATTGAAATAAACAGAGTTTTCTTCGGTTGCGAGATCTCATGCGAGAGAGAGCGAGTGAGAGAAACGGAGAGAGGGAGCGAGGGAGCGAGATGGACAGAGAGCGCGCACGCTGGCACATCGGATGGGAGGGATTTTGCTGGGTGAAGGCAAGTTGGGGCGCGTTGTCCTATTCGAGTCGTGATGGCTGTAAGGCTTGCGCTTCAGGCCTGCAAAGAAAGACAATCTGATACATGCTGCCAAGGTTGCTCAGCTCACCGGAAGAAGAGCCGGCGAATCCAGCTGTAGCAGCCGCCCGTCACCCTCGCATTGCAGAGTGTATGGCATCGAGAATCGCTTTTAGGAGTGGTCATCCTCTCTTTGTGCAGTCAAGCTCCTTGGCGGCGTGATAGTGACAGCAGCCACCGAACCTCGTCTCGTCCCAGACATGCAGCCTAAATCCTTACAGTCTGGCGCTTGCGACCTTGTTGCTGGCCTCTCTGGAATCTCCGCAACCAAATGAATCTACGAAAACAGACGCAACGATACTAGCATCACGATGTCACACTGACTACATGTATGGGCCTGGGTATCGATGCAGTTTTGTCCATGCCAACTATCTGGGTCTACATCTGTGTTCGTGCGCAAACGGCATGCACGGCTATCGGGCGATGTACTTATACGGGTGCCGCGTGTGAGGAATTGTGATTTCCCAACAACCTGCAGTATATGCGTGCATACCTGCATCTGCGCAGTCGCGTCTGTGCGTGCATGCATGCATGCATGCATGTACGCATGTGCATATGTATGTATGTATGTATGTATGTATGTAATGTATGTATGTATACACGTCCGGCTGTATGCCGTGCATGTCTATACGATTCCATTCGTATGTGCGTATACCAATATACAACAGCTGCGGAGCCCGAGTCCGTCGACGCCGAAGCAACAGCCTGGCAGCATGATCCGTTGCACAGGGTTTAGGATTTGCTTGGAGGGGCAGGGGACTTAGTAAGCAGGTTATAAGTAGGGTTGTAATTGGTGTAACTCCATTTAGGGTGCTTATAACTCTGCTTATAACCTACTTACTAAGTCCCCTGCCCCTCCAAGTAGGATTTAGGCTTTCGGGTTTGGGCTTCGAGGATTCACGACCGTTTGCCCCGGGTGCTGCAACCGTAGATACGCTGGTTTCACGCTGAGCCGCACAAGCCAACCTCCCAACCCTTAACCCTAAACCTCTACTGTAAACCCCCCAAACCCGCAAACCCTAAACAAAAAACCCAAAGCCCTTAACACTGAACCCTTGAAACCCTACACCCCCAAACCCGTAAACCCTAAACCCTCAGGGCCAAGAACCAAAAGCCCTCAGCCCAGGCCTCCACGGGGGCCTTGATGCGCTCCGGCTCCTCTCCCCAAAACGCACGGCTGAGGCACGAAACAGAAAGGGCCACACAGATGAAGCAAATGACGGTTTGGGGTTTAGGGTTCAAAGGTTGGCATATGCTTTTCCAGGACTCTTTCCTACTGTGGGAACCTGATTCAGAAACCCTGGTCCTATAACCCTAAAATAGTAGGATTCATATAAGGAACCCTAATAAAGGCCCAAGGTTTCTTAAATCAGGTTCCCACATTATCTTTGGCTAATATTGGCCTTCGCGCTCCGGGCACTCGCAGCAATCAGGGCGGCTTCCTAGATCCGAATCCTGCCTGCTTGCGATGGATATCTTCGGCTCTCATCTTCTTACAATATGGGAGTTTCCGAAAATTACAGGTACCTCATTTTGGGGTCCTTATAATCAGGATTCTACTATTTAGGGTACTATATTAGGGTCCCCCATGTTCGGAAACGCCCATAAAGGTTTAGTGTTTAAGGTTTAGGGCTTGGAGTTCAGGGTTTAACACTTTAGGTGCCCTTTCTCGCTGCTGGTCCTGCGCCACCGGGATTGAGGTGACCTCCTCCTTAATGAAGGGCGGTGTGGCCACCTGCTCATTTCTGAAAGAACGGATCTGTCAGACGGATCTCCGTTGGCTTACAGTTTAATGTGCAGGGTTTCGGGTGTGCTTTAGGGTGAGGGTGCAGTGTGAGATGCAGCTTTGGCCAGAATATATATATATATATATATATGGGTACCCCCCTATATGGGGTCCCCTGGGTTTTTGCACACCACACCCAAACCATTAAACCATTAAACCAATCCTTTGGGCCCATACCACTAAACCATTAAACCATTAAACCATTAAACCATTAAACCATTAAACCAATCCCTTTGCCCCATACCACTAAACCATTAAACCATTAAACCATTAAACCATTAAACCATTAAACCAATCATTTCCCCCTATAGAGAGAGACACAACCCTGTATGGGCCGAAAGCATTGGTTTAATGGTTTAATGGTTTAATGGTTTAATGGTTTAATGGTTTAATGGTTTAATGGTTTAATGGTTTAGTGGTTTAGTGGTTTAGTGGTACGGTGGCATGGAGCCAAAGGACTGGTTTAATGGATTAATGGTTTAGTGGTTTAGTGGTACGGTGGCATGGAGCCAAAGGATTGGTTTAATGGTTTAATGGTTTATTGGTTTAGTGGTATAGTGGCATGGAGCCAAAGGATTGGTTTAATGGTTTAATGGTTTAATGGTTTAATGGTTTAGTGGTTTGGGTACATGGGGGGGAATGATTGGGTTAATGGTTTAATGGTTTATTGGTTTTCCCTGCAAGGTATGGTCCTCAGCGCCTATGTGGCGAGACTCCGGCATAGACTCTACTTTTATTTATTTCCTAAATTATATGAACCCTTGATTCTTATGTTGTTTTCCCTTGGTTTACTACTATTGTTATGCTATTTTGCGCCTCGCCTGCATTATGACGACGACGACGGCACGGTTATAACTGTAGGCTTCGGTTATAACCGACAGGCTTTCTGAACATCTTCGCATTCATATTGCAATGTTTACGAGATCAAGCTAGAAAGTCCCTGTTTATGTAGTGTTTGAGCAGCATGAAGCGAGCTGCTCATGTAGCTGGTCTCATGGAGATTAGTGGCAATGGCAAGTGCATTCTAGAACTGCGACAGATAGCCCCGTCCACGGTGAGTGAGTCTAATGGTGCAGCATCTTCCAACGAAATGCAGGTGCCAGACTCTGCAAAGCTTCTTAGTGATGTACAAAATGGAGTAGTGCCAGTCCATATTACCAAAGCCAGCGTCACGAAGAAGGATATCCAGCAGTATATCAACTACCTTCAGCGTGATGCGGGAATACTTCGAGGAAACAACGGAGCGTGGAATAATGCACTCCAACAACGACTATATGCATGGCTACTCAAGGAAAAGAAGGGCACAAAGACCAAAGCGATTATGGACAAACGCCCTGACGTGGACGACAAGCAGAAGGACGTTGTGGACAAGAAGCACAGCCATAAGGATAAGGACGTGGACATCTACATCGCGGACAACGACAACAACAACGGCAATCAGAAGAACAAGGACGTGGACAAGGACACCGTGCACAAGAAGCAGGAGGACAAGGACGTGGACAAGGACATCGTGGACAAGAACCAGGAGGACAAGGACATCGTGGACCCGAGCCAGGCGAACAAAGACGTGGACAAACACAACGCGGACGAGAACCAGAACGGCAACCACAACCAGAACCAGGAGGATGATGATTCGGATTCTTCTTCATCTTCGAGCTCCAGTGATTCGAACCGCCCGCTTCCCGTAGTTGACACCTCCAGCTGGAATTCCGATTGGCACGATACGTGGGAGCATGTTCTTACCCTGTCCAACCAGGTTGATTCTGGACGCAAGCGTCGTCTCTTGATTTCAATGCTCCGTACCATCGCCCAATGCCATACACAATGGCACGAGGAGCGTTAATCGCCATGCAGTCGTTCTGTCTTCCCGCGAGCCAGCTTGAAAAAGTTTGACTTTGCATTGGTTGCACTCTTGAGCCGCCTTGATTGCCAAACACATGGTTATCATCCTACATTGCTCATTGATGATGGTGTGGCTCCAAGCAGTTCGTATAAGCATGTGTTGTCACACATTCATCGAGCTTAACACAAGATAACAGCCAACAGACAAGGTTATAACCCACACGTCTGGTTATATCCGCCGTCTTGCACACAAACTTGTCTTTAGTCAAACCTCCTCGTCGCGCCAATGGACTCCTCTCTCGCATACAAGCGTGCCCTGCAGGAGATGACAGTCTACGACTTTACCCAAGTCGATGTTCCATTGATATCGCGGCAAGATGATGCCATGGGTTGCCTGCAGGATTTGCCTTTGAAAGATATGGAAGGCCGTTACCTCGCCAAGATGGTCATTGACTTGGTTCCGGATATGGTATGGGAGTCTGTGAATTTCCAACAGTTGGAAGAATGCATGATGCAAAAGCAGTACAATGAGCTCCCTCCTCCATTTGGCCCCAAGGTGCTTATCTCAATGCCGTACAAATTGCAGATTGCCATCGTGAAGACGAGCCTCACACACTGCACCGTAATCAAGTACTACTCCTTCGACCAGAAAGTCAATATACGACTGGTTGAAGACATGGCCTATGGCACTTTGAAGTTGTTAGACTTCACTCCCAACTTCCGTGCCGGACCTTTGGCTATACAGCTCATGCTCAAGCAAATGTCGCACTGCTTTGCCCACTACATTCAAGTGGTACCAAAACCTGCCAAGGAGTCAAAGCCCAAGCAGAACACAGACGACCTGCAGAGTGGCTTTGCCTACATCAAGGCCAACGGTCCCAGAAGCAACATTGGTAATCAACAAATTGAATGGGCTGAAATTGAAACCCGGCGGACCGACAGTCCACTTCACGGATGGTCAGCTGGATTGGTTAAGGAATGCCTGCGAGGGCATGCGAGTGGGATCGTGTATGCGAAGACCATGAACGACTTCTATCTGACTCTGCACGACCTGGCCGCCTGGTTCTTAGACGACGTTGTTGTTGAACTTCTTGGAGATCTCAAGTCAAAGACCATTGTTTTCCTCGGCTTGGCTGAGAAAGGGAAGACACCGGCAGCGCAAGCTATCGCCATGGCAGTCAGTGAGTACTACATTCTGCGAGACAACAAGGACGATGGCATTCAGCCGGGTTTCCGTATATGCTCTTCTCTTGATCAATTGCGAGGAGAGTCGGGCGAGAAGTATCGTCCAGACATCCTTGATGACCCAGACATCAACATGGTACCAATCCCTAAGTTGAAGAGTTTCCTCGACAGCTCTCTCGCAGAATGCCACACAGTTGAGAGATGGACAGCTGCAAGGTTTGTACAGAATCAGTTACGCATACTTTGCGACAACAAGATCAATGAGAATGCGGAGCCTCCAGAAAGCAGCGGCCTCACCACAGACTTCGACATCTTCTACGACATGATCAAGCCAGCATTTCACGACAAAGCGAACCTCCAGGACATCATGGCGTGTTTAAAGCGTGCTCACTTTGTTGTCAACATGAACCATGCCATCTTCATACGGAAGGCCGGAACGACCAAGGACCCGGTCATGCGTGTGCCTTATGTGGATGGGATGCGGGATTTTCTTAGTGAAGATGGAAAGTCTGTGATTCGCTACATGCAAGACGGCAACAAATGCCCCCCGACAAACTGGGTGCAGAAGCGACAATGGTCGCACGATCTTATGACTTTGATCATAGAGACACAGAAGAAACCTCCCCGGACGAAAACAATTATCTCGTCAGCTACCTTCGCTGGTGGTTCTAGAACGCGCAAGGAGATCAAGCCTTCACTTCCATTCTCTGGCCGTGTTTGTCCCGCTTTCATTGCTCAGGATCAGGCACATTCCTCAGAGAACATGGTAAAGCCCATATCATCGGAGGCGCCGGGTACATCTTCAGATTCCAAGTCTTTGCAGTCAGAGGTCCCATCTTCCAAGGCGTCGGTCGCCCCGACAGAAATCAAGGAAGAGCTGGACGACGACAAGAATCGCTTTCACATGATGCTCTCCAACCCGGACTTTAACACTGTCATCGACTTGGATCCTACTCCAACATCGCCACCTCCAGCCAAGCGGCCACGCTCTACGACAACGGATGAGGTTGATCATGATGACAACGAAATGGATGTCGCAGACGACGATATTCTTCCTCGTGTCGGTGTGAATCCGGAAGATTGACGGGCAAGAGAGAAGGACATGTGAGGTTCAAGCAAGTTCAGCTTTCTCTTGTGGACATATCCATTAGAGATTTTGATGATAGCTGTACAGTAGACCCGCACGCATCCAGCTACACAGTCACCAAACAAAAGCAAGACAGTGCGAATGCAACTGTGACGATGATACTGGTGTTGACAGAATCATGAGTCATATTTCCCTATCTGCCCGCTCCTCTGCAAGTATTCTGTGTAGAACCTTTGGGCTCACAGGGTAGAGGATCACTATGCCGCTGCTCCCTAGAACTGGTGGCCTGCATGGCAAACCGTTGGAGGACATTACTTTCATCGAGTTCCAGAAATGTATGTGTGAAGAGTGGTTCCAATCAGACACTCATTTCCGTCACTACATGATCCAACGGCGAGTTTTAGACGAAGATGGACAGAATGTTAGCTTGACTCTCAGATCCATTGCGGTGTTCCTTCGCACTGGCATTATATTGGGAATGCACAAGTGCGTCGAATGCAGCGGGCCAACACGGCTGGAATGTTCCAGCTCTGACAGCGGTGTCAGATATCGCTGGACATGTAGAACAAGTGGGCACAAGCACATGAACCAGTCCGTCAACTCGTGTGGCGTTCTCAGCAAGGTCAACATCAACAACTGGATGCCCTTCTTGCACATCGTGAACATGCTGCGCCTGGGGTTGCCATGGGTTCGCATCACCGATGAAATGCGGGCTGGGTATGGCAATGTGAAGGACGACACTATGTTGGGATGGCGTCGATTATATCAAGGAAGCCTGGGGAAGGCCCTCGTGAACATGGATCAGATGAAGATTGGAGGCGCCAACCACACAGTCGTCATCGATGAGTGTTTGGTTGGGACCCATCCGGAGGATGGGTGGTCCTTGAGCAACCGCGGCATCAACAAAAACGTCGCTCATGAACAAGAACGGACTGATGGACGACATGAAGCTACTTCTATGAAGGTTGCCAAGGGTAGCATGAAGGTATTCCCGGCTCGCACTATCAAGAAAGGTGAACGCAAAGCGTTGGGGTCATTCGCTTTGATTAAACGCCCTGCAGCATCCATGAAGCGTCCGTCGGCATCTACTTCCATGAAGCGTCCAGCATCCTCTACTTCCATGAAGCGTCCAGCATCCTCTACTTCCATGAAACGTCCTTCGGCATCGGGCTGCCTCAAACGGCCTTCCGCTCATCGTCGTCCTCTTCGTGTTCTGAAAAAACCGGCTGCTAACCTGAAGCTAAACGGCAAGTGGTTGTGGCTTGCCGTGTGTGTAGGTCGCGGAAATCAAGTCTTTACGCATGAGAACGGTCTAAAGAAGATCACATACAGACTTCTACCGCGTGCTTCCAAAGCTGTGAATAACAAGCCCCGCGGTTTGTATGAAATTCGTGACACGCTTCACAGCCGGATATACAAAAAGAGTATACTGGTCTTTGATGGCTGGACAGCTACTACACAAGCGGCTGATCAGCTAGGGTATGCCCATCCGCCATCTGTGAAGCACCATAAGTGCTTCAGGGATTCGGATACTGGCTTTCATACGAATGACGCTGAGTCAGAGAACAATCGCTTGAAGCGATGGTCTCGTCAGCGGCACGGTCGTCTGCATATCGAAGAGTCTGATATGCAAGAGTACATGTTCTATGTCAATGTAGGAGGCTCCATGATGTCGGTGCTAGAAGGTTTAGCACAGTCGAGTGAAAGTGGCAAATGCAGAAATCGCATTGTCACGCTTTGAAGCACTAAGGCAATCTCTGCAGTGAGAATGGGGTAGAAAAGACACACGACTAGAGTGCTCCAAGTCCAGCTCCGACAGCGGTGTCAGATATTGATGGACTTGTCGAACATGTGGACCTAAGCACATGAACCATTCCGTCAACTCGTGTGGATTTCTCAGCACATACGCAACGGAACACGTTTAACACTTTCCTGATATCCAAGGTGCCTATATTGTCGACATTGCCATCGAGCTGCTCCAGCATAATACTATATTCGATAATGTATACCTGATTATGAATTAGTTGACTGGTTATAACCTAGTCGGCTGGTTATAACCTAATCGGCTGGTTATAACCTAGTCTGATGGTTATAGCTCAGTCAGATGATGTAGCGAAAAACGTAGGGGACCCCAAATAGGGGTGCGCCCATATATATATATATATATGTGTATGTATATATACATACATACATACATACATACAACCATATATATATATATATATATATATATATATATACTGTATATATATATATACACTTTTACCATTGCACGCATTTGCAAGTGCTGCAAGGAGCATGCAACTGGTGCTATAAGTATGCAATCCCATACTGGGCACTTGCAACCCCAGCTGCAACCTAGCAAGGCCGATGATCCCTCCTAGCAAGCAGCAACAGCAGCAACGCTTGAGACGAGGTGCACATGTGACAAATCGTGAAGTCAAGTGAGCGTCACCGCCAACTTTCCAGAATGTGGTAGGCACGTAGAATCGTAGTGCTCGGTCATCACTATGGCTTCTTGTCAAGTAGTCCTAGCAGTATACCAAAAAACCCTAGACCCTAAACCCTAAACCCTAAAATTATTTAGGCCCTTTATACTCTAATTATAATAGGGAACCCCCCAAAATAGTCTTGGCAATTATGTAAGCCCCTACATTACACCCGAGATGCCTCGATGGTTTCGGCAGCAGGCGCAGGCTTGGGCTCCTTTTCAGAAGAACATGGGTTATCAAAATTATGGTCCCTTTTTGGGTACCCCAAATATTGAGTGCCGCACTATGTTAGGGACCCAAAAAGGGAGCCTAGTTTTGACAACCACCCACATCCGGCTTCTGAAATTCTCCCTTCATCTAGGGACCTTACAATTTAGAGAAGGGTTTGGGGGCTCCTTATTACTTATGGAAAAATAGTCTAGAGACCATTAACAGTTTGAATACTGTTTGGGGGCTCTTTGATAGAAAATTATGGAAAAAGTCTAGGGATTTTAATAATTAGAATAGGGTCTGGGGGCTCCTTCTTAGAATTATGGAAAAATCGACCCCAAAGCCCCATGCTAATTAGTAATGCCCTTCATTGTACCATCCTGCCGTCAGGTTTCGGGGCTTGAAGATTTTTTGCTTTGCGTTTTGGACGAGTTTAAGCTTTTTGTTGTTGGCCCTTCTTCCGAGGTTGAGGGTTCAAGGGTCAAGCGAAGTTTCCTGGCCGCTGCGCCGCTTCTAGATGCTTCACTAGCCCTACCTCTTGACAGGATTCAGCACCAAAGGCGCTAAAAAAGAAACATAGGTGCAGTCGCAGCAGCAAGAGTTGCACGAACAGCGGTGGGGATGGCAACCGAAGGTGTGATCCTTCACCACAACCGAAGGCCACGATCACAACAGCATCATGCCCGCAGGAAACAAAGGAGAAAGCGAAAAAGGGCAAAAGATATCTGAATCTGACTATCAAAGCTGGGTTGACGGTGATGCCGCTGCACCAGAGCCAACCGCCTGGATGGTTGAAGCAACGGTGTCAAGCGAAACAGGCATGCGCATGAAACAGAATCATGCGGCCGATGACAACCATGGCGGTTACGGCACATGTATCAATGCGTCGCTGCAGGGCATCCTGACCAATGCTACTGGTTGTGGGCTCGGTCATGCAAGCGCCGCGGTCAGTACAGTGCTAGTACAGCACAGCCGAGCGATCATGAATGAGGATTTTGCTTTCAACACATGCTAACGGCCGTCGACCCTTCCCCAACACCTCGAAGCAAACGCCCAGCAGAGCAACCCTAAATCCCTAAACCCTAGAAGCTCCGACTTTCGAGCTGAGATTAGGCTTCTGCTGCGGGGGCGCACCCTTGACCCTGGCTTTCGAGCTGCGACTGGGCTGATACTGCGTGATTGTCGAACCGTCTGGGACATGAAGCCGGTTTGGTTTAGGGTTCAGGGTGCACGGCTCAGGGTTCAGGATTTAAGGTTCCGGAGCCCATCGCGCTCAGTCGAATTTTTAGGGTTTAAACGCAAAGCTCGCTCAACACCGTCGGTCGAAACTTTCAGTGAAGACGTGCCGGTCAACACAATCCGTCAGCACTTAAGGACCCAAACCCTTTTGCAATTTGTTTAAATCCTAAACCCCAAACCCTCCACATCCTAAACCCGAAGCCCTGAACCCCAAGCCCTTAGCCCCAAGACCCTAAACCTTCTAAACCCTGAAAATTGACCCCTAAACCCCAAACCCTAAGCTCCAAAACCCAAAAACCCACACCCCTCAGCAACAACAAGCTGGCCTGAGCAGGGGTCATGCTGGGCTGTGGAACTTCGACCTGCCGGCTACTTGGAGGAGGGTTTAGGGTTTAGGGTTCAGGATTTAAGGGTTTTGGGTTGAGGGTTTCAGGGCTGAAGGGTTTCAGGGCTTAGGATTTAGGGTTTACGGAGTTTAGGGCTTCGGGTTTAGGGTTTAGGGCTTAGGGTGTGCACACAGTGTGTGGGTGCGGCTTTTACTTCGGGAAAGGGGGCGCACCCACTTGTCGCGCTCTTGCATCAGCATGTAGTCCCGCTCCAGCCACCCCAACTATTCTCAATTATGTTTTGGGGTTCACCCCGCAAACCCCCTCAAGTGGGGCTTTCTTGTCGCTGCTTCTCTTCGCAGATCGACACATAAACGACCACGTGTCACAGCAAACCACAGATTGGTATTGGGTACAACCCGCCCCTCGCACCCTGTACTTGGAGGGGCAGGGGACTTGTTGTTGTTGTTGTTGGTCGGACTCCAGAGCCCTCATTAGGGCGCGTCCAAAACTGGTAAATTCTGTACATGCAAGTGAAACAGAGGCTCCTCAAAGAAAGGACGTAGGCTTACGCTGCCAGTAACGTACCGCCGTAGTCCTGGGCCCCTCCTGTGATTTGCCCGCTATATACGCCTCAATCCAGGTGACCGTGGATGCTGGAGGAGTGTAGGGACGCACAAGAGAGGAGAGAGATTGTTGCTCGTCGTGGACGATGCCCGAGCAGCGCTCAAGGGCGGTTGGCCAGAGAGGGCCAAAAGTGAGAGGAGCTGGCGCAGGGTGTGCACGCGGTGTAAAAGCTCGCCAGCAACCGGCTTTGACGGTTTTGGCACGCTTCTTGGTCGGTGCTTCGACCTGGGCAATTTGTTCTTTGGATAGAGGAGGATGCAGATAACAGCACCGTAGAAGGCAGCGACTAGATGATTTGAGGTGCTGCTGGACTTGAGCGACGTCTCCAAAGTATTTGCCACAAGCACTGCAAACTTCAGAGACAGCGAAGTGCCGAGCTGGACTCAGCCAACCATGTGACTTCGCAAGATGAAGATGCAAGTGCTTCCTGAGGACAAAGGCCTTGTTGCACAGCCAGCAGGGATAAGCCCTGTCCGCGGTCGGGAGGGGAGGTGCAGGCACACTAGAAGCATCACCGGAGGCAATATGTCCTGTATGCCAAGCCTGCAGGTCCTGAAGAAACAGCTTTTCAACCCGTCGGAGGGTTTGAGGCCACCACTGGGGGTTGTCTCTGGAAGCTTCAACGAGTCCTTCGACTTCCCTGCCAACGGCTAGAACATTCCTGATGTCAGGCAAAAAGATGGCAGCATAAGCTACATCTGCTCGCAACTGATCTAGCCAGGAGGAAGCTGGATGAAGCAGGAAGTGGTCAACCAAAAGTGCGGCCAAGTCCAGGGGGCCTCGAGAAAAGAGTTTGGAAAGGAACAACGCACGCGATTTGGCCAACGCAAGCGGTGGCGCAACCGCGGACGCTCGATACAGGACGGCAAGGGAGTGCTCTTGTTGTTCGGGCGCTGTGCGGCGAAAGAGATTTCTCCAAAGCCGCACATACTGTCGCTCCCACACTCGCATATGGTAGGCGGCGTGTATGATAAGCGCTGCACCGGTATGTGTGTACTTGGAGATGACTAGTGCGCCAAGTAGCGCCTTGCGCACTGTCAGCGTGAACTGCTTGGAGCCAAAGAAAGCTTGACGAAGAGGACGTGCAGTACCTTCGGCTCGCGAGAAACGATGGTAAAGATCTGGCAGGGGCGAAGAATTGGAGGCAATCACGCCCCCAAGGTGCTTGTAGACACTGACAAGTGGCAAGTGGCAGGTAACTCCGGTACACTGGTCTCTAACGTGGAGACACCATCCACCCTCTCCGTCAGGACTGAGGAGCCGTGCGGATGCACGCTTGACTGTCTCTGGAAGGAGGAGGGCGGTTTTGTCAGGGCCAAATTTCAAACACATGCCAATACTGGAGGCATGGGTGAGAAGGATGGAGGTGCCTGCTTGGGCAGTCTCGACGAGTGCATCGGAGGACGGTGCAGTGATGGGCCAAGTAAAATCATCGGCCCATGCAGGGTTGCCGATGTTGACGGAATCCGGGCCAACAAACCAGTCTGGCCTGCGACCTGGGGTTGGGATGGGGTGCATGAGCCCTGCGTCTGACAGGAGCTGATTCACTTTGCGTAGGTAGGCTGCCAGGGTAAAAGCAAACAGCAAGTCAGCAAGTGGGTCACCTGGGCGGCTGCCCCGATGGGTCAGAATGAGGGCAGAATGGGTACTGAGCCTAAACCAACTGCCTACAAACAAGTCCCTGACAAGCTCAACCTGATGAGCGCCAACACCTTGAAGTGGCAACTCGGAGGCAGCAAGAAGGTGTGCGTACAACTCTTCTACAGCTTCCGGGGGCAGTTGCAAGGTGTGCAACAAAGAGAGAAAGCCCTGGTCAGTGTCCGGGTTGGGCACTAAACTCTGTCTAACTACCGTATAGAAGGCAGCGGCCAAGTCAACGAAAAGGACTGCCCACGGAAGCCGAAGGCCATCAAGCAAAGCTGCAAAGCTGCGGATAGCAAGTGCGGGAGTCTCAATGCCGACTCCATCGCGAACTCCAAATTGCATGGTGGGTTGGGTAGAGAGAAGGTGTGGCTTAAGGCCTGCCCGGAGACACCTGTGATATACTTTTGCCGGTACGCACGACACACGGATAGACCTATAGTTTTCACAGGTGAGTTTGGCACAGGCTTTTTTTGCCAGAACCATCAAGTTTCCTCCTCGCCAAACAACTGGTTCCTGTAACCGAAGAGCCGTCTTTAAGATCACTGGCATCAGCTGCCGTGTGGTAACGGTTGTACAAGTTCGCAATACCTCAGACGTAATGCCGTCCGGTCCAGCAGCTTTTCCATTTTTGAGGCGAAGCACAACTTGTTCGACCTGGAACCAGGTCGGCAGAGCTGTCACAGAGAAAACTGCCTGGGAAGGTCGGGTAGCATCTGCCTGTCCTCTGGCTTTGTGAACATAATCGGCAGTCGTCACTTCCTCCCCTGCTTCTTGGGCCGAAAAGTGCGTGCGCCAGCCGAATGCCCTGTCCTCTGCAGTAGCAGCCATGGTGCCATCCGCGAGAACTAGGGCGGGAAGCGGGACGATCCCGCTCCGTCTGGCAGCTCGTGCTGCGGGAAATGCTCTACGGATCGCCTTGTAGAGATCCTTCGGTGATCGAAGGTCGACCTGTGCAGCATTGGTGACCAAGCCTTCGAGGTAGTGTTGCCGGTCCCGAGCTACTGCTGTACGCAATTGTCGGCCATACCAGCGAAGAAGGGCAGCAGCAGATGCTTCACATCCATAGCTCGTAGCCAAAAGTCGGCCCGGGCAACGGCGGATGGTGATAACGGGGAACCCCGCCACAGAGAGACGAATGCAGCAAAGCCAATCATCTGAAGACGTCGGCGTGTTTCCTGCGCCTCCTGTGACAAATAGCGGCGGAGCGCCTGTCGAACTCGCACAATGGCTAGGGTGGCCTCGGATAGGTAAGCCTGCTGTGGTGCAGCATCCTGAGGGTCGCCTAAGCCTGTGGAGGCGACATGCCAGCCGTGTACAAGAGTGTGGTAGTGACAGTCAACAGGTACTTGCCATGCAGTAGCAGGTAGTTGCCGAAACATGGCAGCTGCTGTGGGCGACTCCTTGTGGGCAAGGCTGGGCCGGGACACCTGTCGACGGTTGTCGAAATACTGGAGGGCAGGCAGGGTCTTGCCAAAGCTGCAACGAACCCACACAGGGAGGTGGTCCTCTCGTTTCTGCATGAGCTCGACTTCAACCAGAACACGTGAGCTGATATCAGCATCGCGCCATTGGCATGGCAGGACAACGTAGTCCAACCGGTGCCATTCCCCTTGTGGGGTACACCATGTGCCAGAAGGACCCTGGTGAAAGTTGGCAATGGTGGAAGGCAGGAAACCCTGCACACTAGCAAGGAAGTCATGAAAGAGAACCCCGCTCTCATTCTCGGGTTCCCATGCATGATCTCCTACGTGTTCAGACAAGACAGCTCCGACGCGAGCATTAGCGTCAGTAAGAAGCAGTAATTCTGCTCCTTCTGGACGGCCGCGGATTTCGCTGATTCTGGCTCGCCAGAATTCCTCAACCTGTTCCCAAGGGGTATGTGCCAGAGAGGGCGCATGGATGACACTAACCTGCAAGAGGAGCCTTGGTGCTGAGACAGTGACAACCAAATGGCGATGGCTGTGAGCAGTAACTGTCAAATGCCGGTCCTCAATGAAAAGATCTTGTGTATCGCAGGAAGCATAAGGAATATTTCGGGCAATCCACAGCGCACAGCCACCGACACCTGCTTCGGTGGCCGCAGCTTGCAGGATATGATAATCTGCATCAGACTGGCAGCCATTGAGTGGCAGCCTCGTCTCCTGGAGACCAATGAACAAGGCCGCATTGGCTTGCATCGCCTGTTTGACGAGGCCTTTGCGACCCAGCATCCGAAGTCCGGCAGGTTGGTGGTCGGTCTTGCGGGGCCCAGGATCCTTAAGTGTAAGGACATTAAGGGAAACCGCGCTAAGGTTGAAAGCAACAATGCCGGCTGCGAGCTTGGTTTGGCGGATGCCAAGCATGGGCGCTTGTGAAATGTCCTTCCCTAGCGCTTGGAGGCGGTGGGCCTCAGACTCAAATGAGAAAAGGGCAGGCACGTCTGGACTGTTAGAAGCTGCAGCCCAGGTCCAGTCGACTAGTGGATGCCTGCACAAGCGGGCAGGCCAGGCTGGCAGGCAGCGCTCCCAAGGATCGTCTGCCACTCGCCGGGCTTGCTTCGCAAGCTGATCGACAAACTCGTTCTGGATCTGACCGCTGTGTCCAGCGACATGCTCGTGTGTTAGTTCGACAAGAGTCTGGGCATACTGTCGAAGGCAAGCGCAAAATTTCGCGAGCCTAGCACACGGCCCAGCGGCGGGTAAAGCAGCTGCGCCGAAAACGCCTTGTCCTGCTCCGGTGGCGTCATAAAAGAAGCGCGCTTGCCGACAAACATGTGTGCCGTGTTCAACCAGCCACACTAAACCCCAGGCTAAACCTAGGAATTCCCCTGTAAGTGCTGTGTCATCTTCTTCAAGAAGATGATAGGGTGTGTTGCAGGGCACAGCCTGTGCAGCTGCAAAACCAATCAAGAGGGTGGCTTGCGAACATCGAGCCCACACAGATATTGCCCAAGAGCATGGCCTGACGTCGCTTGCCTGCTGCTGTCCACTTGCAGATCCATCTGAGAAAATGTGGACCTCGTCAGGACTAGGACGGCCATGTGCATGCCAAGTCGGAAATTGGGCAAATCTGGCCCGCAAGTGAGCTGGCACGTGCTGGTCCGCAAGCAATGATCGAAGATCAACATCAAGCCAATCCTGACCGGAAGCTAGCGGATCTGGGCACCTTGTTGCTGGCAGCAGTTCTGTAAGAGAAAGTACAGCAACTTGATGAGGAGTGGTAGGCACACTTTCGACGAGCGAGATCTGCTGTGGTCCGTAGGCTGAAGCGAAATTCTGTATTTCGGCTTGGTGCTCTTGCAGCGCTTCAAGCAAAGTGCTGGCCAGGAAAAAGGCTGGACAACCGGGTTTCTGCAGTGCCTCTTGCAAGAGAGTAAGTCCTGGCCACTGGGCAGCAATGACAAGCTCTGGGCAAAGTCCGACTTCTCTCTCAGCAAAGTCCTCACCCTCTCCAGAATCGTCGGAGCTGTCAGATCCGATCCAAAAATTCGCTGGAGGTTGACAAGTCGTACGGCAAGGGGTGGGCAACAACCTAGCAGAACAACAAGTCAATTCACCACTGAGGGCTGAGGGCTCACGTGCACCGGTCGCAATGACAACCTGCGGGAGGCCTGCGAGAAGAATCAAGCTGACAGTTGTACGTGACGGAAGACAACCTGATCTCGCATCCTTAAGTGCAGCAATGACTATCACTAGACCAAAACTGGGGCAGTAAGCAAGGAGGCGGCTCCAGCAGGCTACTGCAGCAAGCAGGAGGACAGAGGTGAGCCCAAGGTGGCACGACGAAAGGCCAACAGTAGGGAACCTTGGGGCCCACTTGACTACTCGACTGCTGGCAAGGTAGTCTGACGGGGCAACTTGAGGGACACCATGGACAACGTCAAGAACATTGTGCGCCTGTCCTGCACAGGGGGCAGCAGACCCGGCAGCGGCAGTTTGCGAACCTCCCGTGCCAGCATCAACAGAAAAGTCATTGTCTCCAGCAGCTGGAGAGTCTGGGCCAGGTGTGTCCGGTGGTGGTGTGGGCGGCTGTGGTGGCTGCCCCGGTGGTACCTCTGAGGATCCACTGCGCAAGAGGGCACGGGGAATAGCCTCAATGGTGACAATCGTACCATCTGCAACATGAACGTCCGCATTCAAGGGTCTAGGCGCTGCGCCATTCTGTGCGTATCCAATGACGTAAGCAGGAGGGCAGCGTGGCAACAGTTGCGCAAGAAGTGGCCTGTGGGCGAGAACACCCTGTGGTGCATACCTCCAAGAGAACCCAAGCAAAAGTGGCCGGAGATCAAGGAAGCAAATGGGCGGCCTGGTGGTTCGACGCTGACCACCTACAGGCACAATGGTGGCAACGAGAATGCCCTTCGTGTACCTTCCTCGATACATATGGTCTAAGACCCCAGGAGTGGCACCTTTAACAAAGAGGTCGACGGCATCAACAGTAAGGTAGTTGGCCAAGTCTGCTTGGATGACATGGCGACGGCCTCGCCGTACCAGAAATGTAAACTGTCCTGTATCCGACAGAACCCAGGTGTAGTCCTTGAAGTCTCCCGGGAGAGCTGCACGAGGATTCCACCCTGAACTGTCATAGAGCCAGTCCGCAAAGGGAACGACAGTGAAGTGGGGGTGGTCGGCAGTCATGATTTGGATGAGAGCTCCTGTATCGACGTCGACCTGTTGCCCTGGCAGGAGGGGCCATGGCATGTCTGCAGCATAGACGACGACGTCAGCGTCGTCTGGCAGCAACGCGAGTCTGAGAATGTCTCGGCGTGTAAGCCTGGCGGGAACATCCAAGCAAAAGAGTCGCCGATCCAGCTGGCGGCAGTCGAAGCAGACAAACACTCTGTGCTGACTCCAGGTGGGCACAGCGAGGATAACGGCAAAAGCGCTGGCAGGCTGCCAGGGTACCTGATGCAAAAATTGAAACCGGCGCGCGGCGACTGGGCTGCGCTCAGCAGCAACCGCGTGGAGGGCAGCGACTGGGGACACCCCTGGCGTGAGGCGAAGCCTGATGCATTCGGGGAGGTATTCTGGGGTCAAAACCAGAAACACCGCTTCTTCTTGGCCGTCCGGGTGTTGTTGTCGAGCGCCCGGTCCGGGAGCGCGACTAGGCTCAACGAGCTGGTCGGCATTACCAGAGGCAGAACCTGCAGGATGGTCGCCTTGCATGGGCGCCCCGGAGGGCGCTGAGTCCTCTGTGGGTGCACCGGTCCCACTGGCATGTGTGTGGTCAGTTGCTGCGCGCTGGTTCGGTGTGAGAACCGCTGTCAAGACTTGACCATTCGTGACCTGAAAGATATTGACACCAAATGGGACCTCCAGGAAGGAAACCGTACCATTGAGGTCAACCGTGTCAGAGATCTGATCAACAAGGCCATAGACATCCAGCCTCGAAGCAGTGACAACGATTGCGCGCCAGCCTGCGAGCAAAGGTCGGCAGTCGACAATGACCAAAGCATCTCCTGGTGCGTGAGCGGACCTGATGCTTGCAGCAATGACAGAGTGACACTGAAACCCGGTGAGCTCAACATTCGAGATGCGTGGTGTGGCCGGGGCAAGTACCAGCAAGTCAGACCGAATACTAGTCGCAGCACTAACCCTAGTCCGAAGAGGAACCTGACTGCCCGGGCTGTCCGCAATAAGAAAATGGCTGTCTTCGTGCACTAGGCAGTAAGAGCCGGCTTGTCTTCTTTCCGGAAGGATAGCGTCAGGCGACCACGGCCTGTGATCTTGCAGCATTTCGTGGATGCTGAGATTGTGCATGGGTTGTGATCCCGTGGGTAAGTAACTAATGGCCTGTCCAGTAACAACATGAATGTGGACCCCAGGCTGCAAGGGCAGTGCCTCGGTGCCAACAAAGACATCGACGGCCGGGTCGGCGGGAAGATCTGCTAACACAAGAAGATCTTGGAGACTGAGGTATTGCGGGGCTGGTACTGTAAAGAGCCTGCCATCAACCTCCAAAAGGTCGAGGCACAGAAATGGGCCACGGTGCTGCCATTCTGGGACGGCGATACATACAGCGAGATCAACAAAAAGCTGTGGTGCGACCGGACGCAAGTCAGGAAAGCTGATAACGGACTCAGGTGTCCTGGCATCTTGCACAGCTCGCTTGGCATCTGCAAAAACAGTGGGAAAGGCAAGAGCAACAGTGACAAGCTCCGGGCTGTAGGCTGGCATAAGAATTGCAAAAGAGGCCCATGCTGTCCTCAGAGAGGGCACTCGAGGGCGTGGTAGGCTCAGAGGGTGCAATACCGAGGGATGTGGCCGGATGTGGGGCATATGGCCAGGGTTCCTGCAACCTGGCAGCTGTGCGCCGAAGGGCACCGATCCTGTCCCTCTCTGCTGTAGTGGTGCATACTGGCTCGGTCAAGAGCTTGTCCAGGCAGGACAGAGTCTTATCAAGCTGAGTATCCGGAGCAGCAGGTATGCTTGTCGGCGACTCGAAAACAAGTTGTCGTGCAACCGGGCAAGCTGCTATGACATCTATCTGCCTTGATGCCAGAGAGAAGTGGGTCTGTGGGAGATTAGCACGTGGAGGTGTGCGGCTGCGGGACCTCTGGGAACTGCTGTCATCAGAGGCAGTAGCAGTATCATTGCCTCTTCGATCCCCTGGCCCTGGAATGTCTCCTTGATCGTCGGTGTCGTTGTCTGAGCTGTCTGAGCTGTCACTTGTAGCAGCGGAAGGAACTTCACTGTTGGAAAGTGGTACGTACGTCGCTACAAGGACATGTCCCGGGCGAACGTGCAAAAACTCGCCAACATCGTCAATTGGGGCCCCATCAATCTGTACTTGGTACCCCTCAGGGACAAAGACAGAAAGGTGGTCAAGAAGGTCGGAGTGGTTGATGCGGCCTTGGACAGAGTGCTCCAACAGGAAGCCCATGAGCAGGGGCCTCGCATCAACAATAACAGTATCACGAGGAGGGATCCACCTGCCTGGCGGTATCGGTATTTGGCTGATGTCGTCGGAGACCGCAGCAACAGTGACGCAGGGATATCCATCAAGGGCAACATCCTCGGCAGGGGGCTGAGCAGCCTGGACAGTAAGCCGCTCACTGTCAAGGCCAAAGGTCTCAGAGATGATGTCTTGATACGATCGCCCAAAAGACCGCGTTGGCCATTGAATCAAGCGGTGGCCTCTGTCTAAGGCTAGACAAAACCGACGCGCCTGCATTGGCTCTGGCAAGCGGGGTCTGCATTCCCAGCCAAAGGGAGACCGTAACATCACAGGAAGCATATGGCCGATACGGGCAGGATCCCAAGGTCTGGTGAAGAAAACACAACCCCCTGGCTCAACATCAAGCCACTCATCCTCTGCGAGGGGCTGTGGATGCCCAAACACGTAGACAGCAACATGTTGTTCTCTTTCCAAACCGGCAGCTCGACATAGCTGGGCTTTGTCAACTCTCCAAGGAGAGGACTTAGCGAACAGTCTACCGTCAATGGCTGTGGTATCAAAACAGAGAATGGGCTCGCCTTGGCACCATTCTGGCAATGCCAGCAATGTGCCGTAATGCAAGAATGGCTGAGGCCTGACTTCAATGAGCTGTGAATATTGCAAGCTTTTGTCGTGATCCCTAGCCTCATCAACAGCTTGGATCGCAACTGCAACTGTGGTTGGGGTACGAAGAGCAACAGTCACGAGCTCCGGTAGATAGTCGAGTACAAGAACCGCAAAACTGGCTTGCATCACATTGGCTCCTGGATCATGTTGCTGACCTGCCGGCGCAGGCTGGACACCTGGAGCCTGACCTGGGACTGCACGGGGGAAAGTGTGGGTCGGCACGTCTGGAGGGAGAAGAGGTTCTCCACCTTGCAATGTGTGAACAGGAGCCCGGATGCTGTCAGCAAGCGTGGGTTGTTCGGGAAGCCTAGCAGTAGAAACCTGCGGGGTAGCTAGGACATCGACTTCTAGCCTCCAGGATGCTTGAAGCAAAGCATCTCTGACCTCATTGGTGGGATTGCATACTGTTGTGCTTGCAAGGCCTAGACTAGCAAGCCAGACAGCAGGACGCAGCCATCCTTTGGACAAAACTGGCCGGCAAGGTTGTCGAGGAGTAGCGGCTATAGCAATTGTCGGAATGACAGGAGTGACAGGCCTGCCAATGTTGCCAAGTGCTACGACACAAGCATACCGGCCTGCCTGAAGGGGCCTGTGCAATGCTCGACCAAGCGGGGTGCGAAACAGGTGGAAGGGCCTAGCAAGGACCCTAAGGAGGCTGAGTAGCATGAAGGCAGCGAAAGGGGGGCCTGCTCCTTCACAGAAGAGCAGGAGCAGTGCGAGGAATTGATCCCAATCCTGGCCAGTGAAGGCCTGCTTGTCACACCTTGGCAGACGGCGTGGAAGTCGAGGAAAATAGTGCATTCTCTGAGTCACAAGTCCACCATCACTGTGCAAGTCCGGTGGAGCTGGACACCGACAGCCTACAACTTGATCCGGAGGCGAACCCCAATGGCCTTCGGAGGTGGGGGAACTAAACCCGAAGAAACCAAAACTCGGGTGTGAAGGTCGGCAAGCAGTAGCCGAGACAGCATGCTGTGGCCCGGAACTACACCCAAAACTCTCGAAGCAACAGGCGGCGGACCCTGAGCAACCGATACCGCTCTTGTGCGCTCTCTTGCTGTCAAGAGGTATGGGGCAGTCAAAACTCCCAAAAGGCCAGGGAACAAGTCCAGGTGTCCATGGGAGGCCCCACGAGGAACGAAGGAGATGGCAGGTGGCATCCTGGTCAGCTGGACAAAACAGCCTACGGTGAGACAGAGAACTAGACTGGTCAAAGAAAGTATTGTCACGAGACCTCCAGCATTGACCTGGGAGCACTGACATCAAATGCTGACATCCCCAGTCAGACAAATGAGTCGGGCTCTCAAGCCTGCAAAGAGGCCTGTGGCAAGCCTTCCTGACAGGAAAGGTAAAGTCCCCTGTACAAGGGCGCACTGTAGTCACGACTCCCCAAGAGCAGTGACTACGAGTACACCCGTATTGCACTCCAGCTAGTCCATGTCGGGATCGTCTTCCAGGAGGTCGATGGTGTGGGGCAATCGACCTGTTGGCTCGGCCTCTGGCATGTCTCCGGCAGATGCTGTAAGGTCGTCTGTTGCGGTGGATCCTTGGGCGTCCTCGTCCCGCATGGCCTGCTGCCTTTTGTGTTCCAGCTTTTCCTGAAAGGAACGACTGCCAGTCACCACTTCCGGCTTCGTCAAGGTCTTGACCGAAACTCTGCCCTTGCTGGCGGATCTGGTTGGTCGGCTGGTCAAGGGCGACAAGGACTCCATCTTGGCGCCTGGCGAGGACATATAAGGATTGGCAGGCGTGTTCGCAGGATGTCCAGCATAGGTAGTCCCTCCGTTGCCGCCGTCGACAGTCCGCCCATCCGTCGTCGTCGGAGCCATAGTCGAAATCGGCTCCCGTTCCGCCACAGGGCTGACAGAAACCGATGGTCTCGTCCGGGAAGGTCTCTCGGAAGCCTCGACCTCTCCTCTGAGCCCTGGCGGGGGCTTGTTGGCACGGAGCAACCGCAGAAGGGCGGCCTGGTCGGACTCTCCTCTGCGTGTGTCCTCTGCCATCATTTGGTCCCAGGCAGACTCTCGTGTCTCCTCCTCTGGTCCAGGCTGTCGTAGTGTGCGGAGTGCAGCGAAGGACTGCAACATCTCCTGGGCCTCTGCCTGCTGTGTTGCAGCCGTCTGCAAGTCCTCCTCCAGCTTGTCCATGGCTCTGAGGTGCCTGTCGTGCTCTGCATTGAATGCTCGTTTGGCATCCTCCTTGTACTTGGCCCATTGTTTGATCTTCTGATCGCGGGCCGCAATCAAGCTGCGAACCCGATTTTCCGCTTTCCGTGCTGCATTGAGCTGGGCCTGAACTTCGTCCACTAACGTTCCCCTCGAAGAGGAAGAGGGCGCAGCCGTGGTCTTGATCTCTGTGATCGCCGGCCTGTCGTCGGTCTCCACCTTGTGGGCATCGTAGCGGGGAAATTGTGCCCTGGCAGGCTTCGTGTCGTCCTTGTACTTGCGATTGGGCGACCAAGCACCACGCCAGTACTTGTATCCACCTTGTCGGTGATAACCTCCGCCATTGCCTGGCCATTTGTCTTTGCCCATACGTAGGACCCGGAAGACGTAATGTGGCCGCGAATGGTGGGATTCCAGAAGCTGTAAAGCTCTGGCCGATGGCGGCTGCCGCAGCAGCTTGCTCCGTCGTATGGAGCGGCGAGCTCTCGCTCGCTGTTGCCTGATATGGCGGTGCCACGCGGGAGATCTAGGCGCAATTGTATGCGTCCAAATCGAGCTCTTTGAGCTCTGGGGCAGTCAGCTATCGGGACCTACGCCCGTGTTCTGAGCCCTGGCAGGGGACTTAGTAAGTATTCTTATAAGTAGAGTTATAAGTATCCTAAATGGAGTTACCTCAATTATAACCCTACTTACAACCATGCTTACTAAGTACCCTGCCTGTCGCACCCGGTAGGGAGGAGGCCCCGTGTCGCTGGAATTTGCAAGGGTGGGGTCTGGGTAGTGCCGCTGTGCGTTTTGGCCATTTTCCGGAAATTCCCACATGCCCTGACGTTCCCCCCAAACGCTGAAAGGGCCGGATTTTCCATTCGACAGCTCGCCCCCTTCTTAAGACCGGCCCGGAGGCCGTCAGACCCAAACAGACCTTGTAACGGGCTGACGCAATACTTGTGTGAAGCATAGCCGAGTCATTCCCGTCCCCGTATGCCGGGAGGCTTTACCCTCCTTCACCGTTCTGACGAGACGCTCGGCGTCGGGGCCTTGAGCTCTCATGCAAATGGTCATCGGCGATTTTTTCTAGTTCATGGTCGGAAAGCAAAAAATTGTAAATTATTATTCCTTCTTGGGTTTAAGTACCCATAAAAATCTAAAATGTTACCCAACGTAGTCCCTATATATTCCCCAATAATAATCCCCATAACCCATTCCCCCATTCCCGGCTAAGAACCAGACAGTCTTGAACGTGGGGTCGGGCATCTTTTGTTCCGGGAGGGCCTTCGTCTCAGCCACGACAGGCGCTGTAACTTCAGCCTGGCTCGGAGGCTTCCTTAAGGGGGCCTTGTAAAAGGCTCCCTAAATTTAAAAAGGATCCATAAGGGTTCTATAAGAGTGGTTCTAGGGTTAGTTAAAAGATCATGGGACTTAGTAACTAGGCTGGTAATGGGTAAGGTAACTATATACTCATAATTACTTACAACTCCAGTTAGAGTACTTGTACCTGTACTAAGTCCCATGATCCCCAAAGTAGTCTTTTAAGCTTAGGCTTTGGTGTCTGATAAAGTGCCGTCTCTTTTGGACATGATGGGTAGGACTGACTGCATTTTGGGGTTTTGGGTTTGACGGTTTTGGATTTTGTGCTTAGGGTTTTGGGGTTAAGAGTGCAGGATTGACGGTGTAGGGGTTCGGGAGTTTCGGCTTTGGTTGGGGGCTTGGTGGGGGTGTTAGGATTGGGCCTGCGGATACCCCGATACCATCCACAAGGATATAGTATAAGGTGTAGGGATGTGTAGGGTTTAGGGTTGCTTTCTTGCTTCAAACAAAGCAAAACACCAGCTTCCAGAAAGGGGGAATGTTTTTTGGTACCCGAGCACACACGGTCGAAACGCCATGTTTACGGGTCTTTCCAATAAGGATCCTTTTTGGGGGGGGCAGACTTGGCGGTCCCATATTCTGAGGATTTACAAAGCAACACCCCCAGCCCCAAGTGCTTACCCCGCGAATCCCTCCGATGTAGGTTGTCTCCCGTGCAACAACGTCTACATACTCCCCAAACCTGAAGCCAGCCCAGCAAGCGAATCATCGGCAAGTCCGTACAAAGAAGCTGTGCGTGTAATACCGGAAACACGGGCAACAGTACCTGTAGTTATCGTAACCGAACAGCATAAAGTCAAGCATCCGTTCGAAAGAGGTGCCACCACCGTGTAACAACAACACAAGCACAGGTCATCTGGTCCACATGGCTATGTTGTTAGTTGCTGCATCTGCTTCCAGGAATTTCAATATGCCAGTAAAACTCGACAAGTGAAACGGCTTCCTGGTTGGTGCCACCAGAAGCATCGCCCGGATCTAGTGAATCTAGTGCTGTCAAGAACCCGTAAGTAAGCCAGAAACCAAATCCCGACACCCGTCATCTATGCACTTCAAACTCCTCACGCGACCCCCAAAAGC